ACAAACTGCTGCTTTTGAGGGGAAAATACCCGGTCTCACCAACCACAATCCCCGACCGGGTATTTAAGAATTATACCCGGCCGGGTATTTTTGGTCATGGCCGGGTATTTTCATTCCTCCAGCCCCGGCCGCTTCAGAAATATACCCGGCCGGGTTTTTTGGGTCATGGCCGGGTATTTTCTTCCTCCAGCCCACTTCAATCCTCGTTTGCTCCTTTCGACCCGAATCTCGTTCCTTCGCCTCGATTCCAACGCCGGGTCCTGAAATATGACAAAAACACACAACCTCGCGTGAAATCGGCTTAAAACCCGAGAATTAACCTTTCAAACGGCTCAGGAATAGGAGTGAAAATACGTGTAATTATCGGTTTATCACTTCTGGAATCTAGTTGGGTGCCTCAACTCCATCCCATGCCTCTTACTTATAACCCACCGGTACTACCTGATGGAGGGACCTATGTGTGGTCGATGTGATTTGCCAAGAGGAGAGGCATTGGTGTGATGCAAAGCTTAGTCAGTGGTTTGACCCAGATACATGTAGGGCTATCAAAAAAATCCCTCTTCCGCATATGGATGTTGAAGATCGGCTTGTTTGGCATGATACGCAGGATGGTGTTTTCGCGGTTAAGTCAGCTTACCATCGGGTAGTCTCGATGAGTAAAAGGGATGGCCGGTGGCGAGCCATAGCGAGTTGGATGGATAGGGGTAGCTGAATCGGGCTGTGGGATGCGTATATCCCCCCTAAATTGAAAGTTTTCCTATGGTAGTTGTTTAACCGTATACTTCCAACGACGGAAGCACTGAGGGAAAAAAGATATCCAAGTCCATCCCAGATGCCCAGTTTGTTGGGAAGAGCCTGAAACAATGGATCACTTGTTTCTTGAGTGTCCGGTCGCTAGAGCTTTATATGATTATGCGGGCTTGGAATATCTAGGGCAGGGGCTCTTCCTGAAGAAATTATTGCAATTAATTCATCTACCTTTGCTTCTCATGGTTGTTTCTACGGTAGTTTGGCAGATCAGGTGGTTACGAAACTGGATTGTTTTCGAGGGAAAACAATTTGGGATCCCATCTTTGATGAGGCAATATCATCAACAGCTTCATGAATGGGTAAGCTTGCCGGTGGACAAAATCCTGATGTTGCATGATCCTATCTCTCAGCCAGTAGGGGTGGTACACCCGATCGAGCTGGTCTGTAGGTGGGATGGGGCGACTAAACATGAGTCTCATTCAGCAGGTGGCTTGCTTTTAATGGATCATAGTGGGGAGATCCTGTTAGCTAAAGGAGTCCAGTTTCCCGGGATTGATGATCCGCTGATTACTTAAATGCTCACTCTTCGGGAAGCTATTTCATGGTGCCTTGCGTCCGGAGTTCTGGAGGTACGACTGGAAGGAGACGCCAAGGTGATTATTGATAAAATCAATCAAGGGATCACTAGGGATTGTCGGATTGGAGCGTTACTGGTTGAAGTCGTGGAGCGTTTGGCGCTGAATACTGGGATTAGTCTACGGTTTGTAGGTCGGAGTAGGACTAGGATAGCCCACTTGGTGGCTAAAAAGGCCCTTCATATGTACCCGACTACGAGTCGTTCTTTTGAGGTTGTGGCCTGGTTGCGCACTAGGGTGTAATTATCTATTTTGTTGATCAATATATGATTATCTTTTGTAAAAAAAAAGCAAACTAAAATCTCATAAATCATACCACAGGTTCCCTTAAACTAACCACAAGTTTCTTAAGAAAAAATACCAAAATACACATGTTCTTAAAAATATTCTCAAAATACATACGCTATAAAAAAATTATCATACTACACATGTTTCACATTTACCGCCGTTCTCAAAGACAGTAAATTCTCATACATACATACATACGCTATAAAAAAAATTCTCATACATACGTTGTTGTTGAAGACGGTGAAGAGCTCACCGTTGACATGGAACTCGGTGAGGCGTCGGATATGGAAACAAAACCATAACCCGTGCCTCACCACATCCAACGGCTACAGTGAAGGGGCGGGGCGACGAGGATCGTTGACCGGTCCACAGCGTGTTCACTGAATTCTGGTTTTCCTCCCAGATCTGATGTCTCATAGTGTCCAACGTCAGCAATCCGCGCCATTCACTGTCGTCGAGAAACGAGGGGTTTTCCCTGCAGTTGACGAATGCGGTGAATGTTCTGCCCCTCTTTCCTGCAGACTCTTCTCATATAAATACCATCCCCACCCCCTCCAAACCACACCATCTCACAATTTCTTCTTTCTACCTCCATTCCTCCACTCTAGGTTTGTTTTGAGTATGCTCTGTGGTTACAGGTTAGTCCGATTTTCCGCATCATAAAGAATTCCTAGTGTTATTTCCTATAACCCTCCCCTCTAAAAACCCATCAAACCCCTGTTCGGCTTCCTCCAAAAAATGGACAAAGAGGCTCTTAGGGTACATACTTGCTTTTCCTTTTGTGTTTTTTTTAATCGAAACAATCTAATTTCATTAAAAAAAAATTATAGATGAGTGCCGAGATATATGATGCTTGATTGTATATCGATCCGGTTTACGGTCCAGATCGAGAGACTAAAGTATAGACCAGAACCATATCACATACTATAAGGTCTAGACCAGATCACGCCTGTGCGGTCTGGTACAGACAAACCACATTGAACCAAAAATGAACAATTTGTTAAGTCAACCAGATTAAAAATTGAACCAATAACTGAGGAAAAAATTGTTTTTTGCCTTAAAACATAAAATCCAACATGCATGAATAATTTTGACTCTCTAAATCTTTGTTAATAACAAAGATACAAAGTCGAAAAATCCCAACCCGCACCATAACGTCACAAACAATAAAATAATGTCGTATGGAGACACGATTGTCTCTATTCTCTAGTGAAATGTGGTTATTAGTGAAGTAGAGGACGAGATTCTCAAAATTATGGTTGAGACTTGAGTCTCGTTGGGGGAGTTGGTGGAGTGGTCGAGTGGATACTAACATGTATTAGGAAGTCGACTAGATCCACGATTTGGTCTGGTTGCGGTCTAGATCAGATCAGATAAGAGTTCAAAACTTCATATAATACAAATCATAGACCAGACCAGACCATTCTTCACGGTCTCCGCAGCGGACCAAACTGTGCAGTCTAGTTTGGTTCACGATTTTTCAAACGGTCTGATCTATTTTTCCAGTCATGGTTAGCCCACATTATGGACCCATTTTGAGGGAGTTCCAGAGGGAACCGAATCTGCTAAAGACTGGGCTGAGCTCAGCCTGGCCCAATATCAGTCCTCTTAAGAAATTGGAAATAGCCCGTTGCCTTGCTGTACATATAAGAACCTCCATGCTCAACCTAATCTCATGTTTGGCTGCGAGCCTGCGACCTGCGAGGCGGCGAGCCATCTGCGGCCTCGCAATCGCCTCCCTTTCATCTTCGCTTTCTTCTCCTCTTCTCTTTTACTTCGTGTTATTCATTTCCTTGCTACTAGTACTAGATGTTAATGATCTCAAAATCTGTTAGGTTCTCGGCAGATGGCGGCGACAGTGATGACGAAACTTACATTTCTCGATACTGATCCGGTTGTCAAAAATCGGGGCTTTTCTATGGGTATGGACCGTACCTTGGAAAGCTATTTCCTGATGACTGCGTTTATGCGTGTCTGAGCTCGCCTGCCCACTGCCTCCAAATATTTTCAATGTCCTCTCATTTTTTCTATTTTGCTTTGTTTTGTCTTCCGAAGGAGAACAGAAAGTCTTTTTCTTTCGAGGCTATTATGGCTGAAAGTCTTTTTCTTTCGAGTGCATAGTGGATACACACCACCGCCTCTCCCACCACCTGCGCAGTCATGGTGATAAGCAAAGTTTGTTGGGGATAATCAATTTTTTGAGTTCTATCTACATTCTACAACAACTACGACGGATTGGAAGTTGGAACCATTTCACTGCAATTTAATCACCCATATGATTTGATTCACGGAAACAGCAATTACGGCTCCAATCTCATACAATGAGGGGAGAGTTCATTAAAAACTTTTCATGAATGCAACCAAACAAGACGACTAAAACCGGTTTCATTTTCCAAGTATACTTGTTACTAAAAAATTTATCAAAATACAACAGTTTTGTAAGTAAGAATTTCCAACAATGCACATGTTTTTGCAAAATTGCTGACATCGGAAGCGCAATCGACATGGATTGCTGACTTGTCAAGCGATCAACTGTTAGATTGCGTTCGACGGGCACAATCACGACTCGAATTGCTGACATGGAAATCACTAGTGTCCAGATATACCTCCCAACTGGGCTTTTGGAAATCAACCTCACTGCCTCCTGCACACCCTCTTACCAAGCTGTAGTAGGATGTGTTTTAAGCTCTATGATGGCTTCATCAGGAAGGACAAACATTCTTCTACCCATCAAGTGCAAGTCTTTCACTTTTCCATCCTCCTCTTTTCCCTTTTGGTTCAGGACTCAAGTTGAGAACCCCTTTTCGTGTTAGGCTCCACCGCGATTGAGTTCTTTGACCTTTTTGACAGGCTAAGGTTTTATCGAGGCTCGATTCCCTCCGAAAAGCTGTGAAAGCTACCCTACTGAAGCCACACCAAATGATAGAACTGAGTCCTACAGCAGGTTGCTCTCTTTTCTCATTTTTTCAGAATCATGAAAGTATATTCCATTATTAAGTAGTAACTAACTATTAATGAACCGATCACCTAAAATGAATAGATCACTAGGGCCACTTATGCCTGCATGATATTTGTCCCATGCTGGTTTTTTATGTTAGAGAGGGGTGTTTGTGTTCAAGGAGAAAGAGCTGTTGTACTTGTATGCCAGAAAAGATGACAGCATTGACATCTGCTGCCAAGTACCAGTGGCTTGAATTGAACAACAGAATTCACTTCAGTAATCCTCAAGAAGATTAAGGAGTTAAATCCTGTTCATGTTTTGCTCTTAATCAAGAAGATTAAGAATGCCTAGTGTATATATGGATTAAACTTGACTGGCATAGGCAGTTGGTGGTAGTTGGCATGCTGTTGGAATTGTAATTTTACTTCAACTAAACTACATACGGAGCGCGGGAAACCACACAACAGAAAAAACTTTTTTTTTTATTTTAATCAGTGTAATATTTGGAAGCAAAAAAAACTCCCAGCTAAATTCTATCCCAGAAAGGAATAGAAAAAGTAACTGTAATAATTATTTCTCTCCCTCTGCGCTCTCTTCTTGTTTTTGCCCCTCTTCCGCAGGCGCTCTCTCTGTCAATTCCTCTTGTGTTGCTGGCCGTTCTATCGATCTCTCCTTCTTTCTTCTCCTGGCGTTTGGCCATGGAAGGAGAAATCAAGCTACCGCGACCAAAGCTGTTTGTAGGAGGAGTGAAGAGGAACACCACAGGGCAAGAACTAAAGGAATATTTCCAACAGTATGGCCAAGTAAAAGACGCCTTTATCGTCTACTGCAAGCAAACTTCACGAAGCCGAGGGTTTGGTTTCGTGGAGTTTGAAGACCCATCTGCAGCTGCTCTTGCTCTTGACGAGAAGCAGCACAACATTCTTGGCCAAGACGTGAGCTTTTCTTGAAATCTTTCTTTCCCTATCACTCCTCACTGTTTCTTGTGTTACTTGTACTTTTGTCCTGTAGAAGCTAAGGTGTTATTAGGTTTCTTCTTTTGCAAGTTACCACAATCCTCTTTCTTGCAGCAGGGGTTTGTAAGTAACTCATGTATCTGGAATTACTGTGTGTGTATGAGTAGGTGGATGTGGAAGTAGCTGAATTGAAGAAAACAGATGATAATGAGACTGCTGCTGGCAACGAGGGGGAGAGTCATAGAAGAAGCAAAAGGGTATTTGTCGGAGGCCTGCCATCGACGATTACTCCAGAGGAGTTTCAGAGTTTCTCTGAGAGCTTCGGAGCAGTGAGTAGTGCGAATTTGGTGCACAACAAACACAGTGGGAAGCCACGAGGGTTTGGTTTCATCACTTTTGTATCAGAAGATTCGGCGGATAGAGCTTTGCAGAACAGATTCCACGAGTTGAAGGGGTCGCAAGTGGAGGTGAAGAGAGCAAATCACAAGAACAACTACGCTTATGACAATTTCGCCAGAAGATACCATGAATATGCTGCCCTTGCTGCCATGAACCATTCTTCTTATGTTAATGGTTATTATTACTATTACTGTTATAACCATCTTAACTATCAGCAAGCTTCAGGGCTCCCTTATTACTGGGCGACACCGCCAGGGAACTACTGCCATTTCTACCAATCTTGTTATCCAATGGCTGCTGCAAACTATGCAAGTCTTTCAGGTGACTGGTCCTATGATCCAGCCAATTCATTGCTACGTGGCTATGGTGACAACGACGTTGTGGGACATGGCCAAGAAGAAGCTGACATAAAGATTACAGACAAGAATGGTGAAGGTGTCCTGTCCTGCTAGAACTCCTTGTTGATTTCTGAATGGTTGCTATTGGGAATGTATTATGTTTCAAATTTTCTTTTGTGGGGGGAAACGTTGCAGGTCATGAGGAACATGTTTGGGATGTCTTGAGGAACTTGGATGAAGTTAATGATCATTCAGATGATCAACAAGGACCAGATGGTGAGATCAGAATTAATGGAAGTGCAGTTCATCATAACGAAGTAACCGGTATAGCTTCTTGTTTCTCGTCACATATATGTCGAACATTCTAGTTACTGGTCAATTGATTCATCAATTGGTCATCCAACTTGAAACTGTAGGTAGTGAGCACCATGATGATAAGCAAGTTTGGAGAAACTTGGATGGAATGAACAGGGAATTGATGGAGATCAAGGCTGGTGGTGGGGAACATGGAGAACTAGCTGTGGATAGAATGCTTTATGAAGCAGAATTTGGGATTGGAAATGTTGGTTAGTTTCTTTTCTCCAATGGGACCAAGTATAAAAGTGTTATCCTGTTTGCTTTGCATATGTGTTTAAAGAAGCATGAATGAGTTGCAATGCAATGTTTGGTTTCTCTTTTTGATGAAACAGGTGAAGTAGATGGGGGAAATGCTGAAGTGGTTTCAGAGATGGTTACATATTCGCTGGAAAACGGGAAGGTTGATGGTTGGAGCATGGAAAGGAAGCCGCTATTGATGGAAAGCTTGGTGGCAGCAACCTGCATCGACACTTGAAAACCGCCAGCTTGGTAGAGGTTGATGATGTAGTGGGGTTTGCTTACGGGTGATTTGGGCTTTTGTTGTTTGGATTATGTCGCACGCTTGGGGCTAATCCACGAGTGGAGGGCCCCCAAGAATTGCTGTCTTTTGTGAATGGATGGATTGGGCTATTAATTTGGTCGACACTCTTTTATTTTTATCCAATTGGGGGTAGTTCTCGATCCGACTGCGCGGCGAGGGCAAATCATAGGTCCACTGTAGAGGAGGCCCAAGCCCCTTCGCGTTGCGTTTCACCTTCGATTGAGGCATGACACATCAGTGAGACGTGGTTGGGTCTGATGCAAGGTTGTCAAACCGGTTTATGCCAGTGTGCCGGTTTAGCAAGTGGAATGGTTTAACCGGTGGTACATACCGGTTTGTGCCGGTTCATGTCGGTTAATATTATAAATAATTTATAAATTCTCATATTTAAATATTTGTACTTGAATCCAACAAATAACATCAACATTTAACTTTTGAACACATAAAATAAATAATAAATTACTTTTTATCAATTAAACTCACTAAGATAAGATCATTTTATTTGGAGATTCGTATATCAATCATGCCGGTCATACCGGTGGTGTCATGCCGGTTTTATGATCGGTACAGGTTGAACCAGGTTGAACCAGTGGCACGCCGGCCGACGTAACAACCATGGTCTGATGATAGATTATAACTAGAAACACTTGCTTCTAAAACGGTACTATATCGGCCGTCTAATCGAGAAAATATAATACTGAAGTATAAATTGGTAGCCGATTTATAGTAGCGAAATGGTTGAACTATGGCTAAACTATTTTTTTAATGTAACATACCCAGTGATTAATTATGAGATTGTATGCAGCGACGGAGACAGCAGTGGCGGTACCATCTTCATCCCCGCGCTTATTCGAGTAGGAAGATTTCGGTTTTTCTCGTTCTTTTTCTTCAATAAGAATAGGGCAGACAAGTGGCAACAGCTGGGACAAACGGCGACGCCAATCGGTGCTTCATCCCCGAGCGGCCAAAGAAGGAGCAACAACTCCAAGAAGCTGCATTTCCAAAGCCCCAAAAGTAGCCCCGCAAAGCTATCGCCACCATTTCCCTCACACGATCGATAGCAATGGCCAACTCTCCCCTGTTTTGCTTCACTCGGAGAAGAAGGAGGAAGTTGATGAAATGGGAGGAGGAAAAGAAGGAGTAAGAGTACTAGGTTTCTCTTGGTAGAGGGTTAGCAAATGATCTGCAGAGTCAGAATCGTCATTGGAGGTCTGTAAATGCCTCGTGGGAGCTTCGCCGGAGTTTGTCGGTGTGTCACCAGTATCTGGAAATTTTTGAAGTTCAAAGAAACTTCAAAATATTGATACGGTTGCTTAGAGGACGATCTCAGGAGTGTCACGGTGTCGACGAAATCAAATTTCAACGTCGGATGAGGGAGAACCGAGCCTCGGAAGTTTGAACAAAAATCTGTCAAGTTCAGGTACCATTTGTGTTAATTCCATAAGTTAGAAGATTGAAAATGATATTTTTCAGAGAACTCGTGGTCAACTAGGTTGACTTGGAAAATTACACATTTGGTACCTAGTACTTTGAAAATTACACATTTGGTACCTAGTCCTTTTTATCTTCTCAGGTTAGAATGATGGGGTAGGGGTAGCATGTAGACGTGCTGAGAACAAATTTTCCCCTTTGCTCTCTTTATTTCAAAATTCTCTGCCCTCTCTAATCTTTCCCTTTTCATTTTTCAACAAGGGCCGCCGTCGGCTCTTAAGTGGCTGATGGTGGCCCAAGAGATCTCCTCTTCCTTTTTTCTCTTGATTTCCTTTTCCTTTTCAGCTTGTTCTTGCGCCTTCCAACCATGTTTGTTGTTTTCCATTTCCTTAAGTTGAGTCGGATCCACAAACAACTTGCTGGAGATGATTTTTCTTTTTTTTCCCATTATGAGTTTCTCTATTCAGCTGCTGGTCTGTTTGGGTATGAATTTTTGTACTGCTTGGTTTGCCTCACTCAATGTGTTGGGTGGTTTGGCGCTATCCATGTTAGGTGTTTTCAACTTTGTCGTTTTTTTCTTCTCCGTTTCAGCTTTTCTGGTCGTGCAAAGGCCTTTTCTTTTTCCTGTTGTGGTTAGCTTTTTTCTTCCTCTGAAGGGATCCTTTGCCCCATGTTTGTGGGTTGAATTTTTTGTCATCCGATCTGGTTCCCAGATCTAGAGATGTTTGCTCAGTTCAAGATGCGATGGAGTTCGGATCTGATTTGGATCCGACTTCTCTTCTCATCTCTCTCCTTTGGTCTGCCTCCTTGTTTTTCCTTGCATATCTTAGCAATTTGGAGATGCGGCCCTTGGCGTGGATCCGGTTGGGCGATCTCGAAGATAGATGTAATCTAACTCTCTGTCTCCTCCGATGATCGTCTGGTTGCTCTATTGGTTCCCCTGGACTCTGACGGCGGGCTGGGGGTAGGATGGCCGGAGGTGCTTTCCTCCTCTTCTTGCCTTCCGGGTTCAGTGGGTGCTCCATTTGTACAAGGCTGGCAGTGGCAAAGTTCGGTGGCTGGCGGTGCTAGGCTCGATGCGGTGGTGGTCTTCGGCCAAAATACAGAGGGTCGAGTGTGGATAGGGTTGGGGAAGGGCTCATTCTTGTTTTGGCCTGGGTCGGGCCTTATTGGGTTGTGAGGATTGTCTTTGGCCTGGTTGTTTGGACATTCTTTTCAATCGTATTAAACTGTACGCTTGTGCATTTCCTTTTTGGGCCTCGCACAGTCGTTATCTTAATGAACAACCATTTCAAAAAAAAAAAAAAAGTGTTAGAGGTTAATTTGTAGCTTTTGGAAGAATAAAGGATAAGGGTTCGTTGTGTTATAATTATGTTTATATTTTAAATAATGGAATAAATGAATGATAGTTTAATGGAGAACATGTCTATTAGTGTCATAAGTTCAAATCACATTTACTATGATCTTTTTTTTTTCTTTTTCCCATATTGGAACTACTATTAGAAAATATTCAGATAGATAACTGTTTTTTCGTCTGTGTCGCACATAGTTAGCACCTATTCGCTGACCATTACAAAAGCTAGTTAGGATTAATCCGATTAAAAACTATGCTCTACCAGATTAAACAGGGAGCGTACAATGGCTTGATCTAGTGATAGTACCACAATGCAGTTAAAATCTTATTTTAAAACATAAAAGCTTACGATTTTATGCTTCTAGGTAACCAAAGCGCTTTCGTTTCCATATAAAATCTTTATTTTATAAACTCGGACTAAATTACGCTTTAAAACTTAAATTTTATGTTTCACGCTTCAAATTTACCAAGCGATTTACGCTTTTATGCTTATATTTCACTAAATGGGTATTCTTTTCATGAAGTTAATTATAAAAATATATTTTAAAGATAAATCACCAACAATATGATACATTTGAGAGTAAAAGATACATATCACGTACTTTGATACATTCTCAGCTTCAATAAAGTAATCTAATTCACCAGTTAGGGCATTCCTCAATTCATTAGCATAGAGGGAATGTGGCTTTTTGTTACGATCTATGTTTATGAACTTATTTTTAAGATGCTATAAGTTGCTCTACTCTAGACATGAATTACATGTATTTATTAACTTATATTAATTCCGTGCACTCATATTTTACATAGTATATGTCGTACTTAACATATTTTTAGCTATTTTACAATATGCATAAAAAACTTATGCTTTTAAACTTTGATTCCGCACTTTACGATTTTATCTCTTTTCGCTTGTAGATAAAATCGCGCTTTTGACTGCATTTACATACTCTCCACCTAACTAATAATCAGTCTATACCACCTTATAAAAAATTAGGCAAAATACAGTTGTATATCCACAACTATCACGTTTGTGACAAATATATCCACATCGAAATACACGAAATATCCAATTCCGTCTAATGCTCTAATGGCGTCAATTAACAGTCTGACTGGATTGACGGAATGGGCTGAGTCGGCGATATTTGGTCCCACCATTACACTTGGATAATGAAAAAAATAAAAAGATAAAATCCTTCTTTTCCTCTTCCCATCGTCTTCCCACCTCTCTCCTTTTCTTCCTCAAAGCCCCATCTTCGATCTCTCTCTATTGCCCTCGCTGTGTCCGATGATGCAGAAGAAGTTGGATTTTCGGCGACGCATCTTACTTATCCCACCCCTTTCGCCATGTCGTTCACGTACGTAACCGCCTCCAAGTACCAACACAAATGCCTCTATTGAATCTGGGTTTTTGGGTTGAAGCTCAGAGGTCAATCGAAGTTGGAAATGATTCCATTCGAATCAAACTTGGAGACTCGGAGCTCAAATCTGGGTTTCTCACTGAAGCTCGGAGGTTGAATCGTAGTTGAAGGCTGAAGCTCGACGCCGATTCGTTCAAATCAAACTCTTAGGCTCGGAGGTCGAATTTGGGTTTCTGTGGTGAAGCTGAATCCGCCGCAGCGGCTGCCCTTGCCCTCAGACGATCTTCACTAGCCTCATCTTTAGTGGTCAACCGGTCGTTGAGGAGCTCGACGTCGCTAGGAGAGATATTGAGACAGGAACTTCCCTTTCAAGTAGTTGACGAAGGACTCTGGGAAGGCGTCGAGGTTGGGCATCTCGGCGAGTTCGCTGTGAATCGAGCCAGCTGAGTGAGGACGCCGCCAGGTCTTCTTCCATCCGCAGTCGATGTGGGGGGTTTTCCATTCCTCTGCTTGATGCGATTTGGGGGTTTTCCAATCCTATGCTTGCTTCGATTTGGGGGTTTTCATATCGGCGGTGGGATTGGTTTCTGTCTGAGAAAGAAACAGAAAGTCGATTGAGCAAGTGGGCAAGCCCGGATCGTCGATTGCGAAAGCAAAAGACCAAGATCGATGTCGGCGACGGGAGCGTGAAAGGAAGCTAGAGGAGAAAACAAAGCTCTCCGTTGGGATTTGGCCGCTTGGTAACGAAGCTCGTCGTCGGGATAGCGTGGCCGGAAATATGGGGTTGATCGCCGAAAAAAATTTAATTTTAAATTTTTTATTAATTAATTTCTGACGTGTCATTTAACTCTAATATAATGTTGGTTTGTTGCTGACGTGGATGGTGATTTGGATCCTAGTCAGCATTCCGTCACAATAATTAACGGCGTCACTAACACCATTATAGTTTCAGACGGAAGTGGATAGATTTGTCACACAACCTTCCTATTTTTGGATATTTCGTGTATTTCGATAGTCGTTGATACATTTGTCATTTTGCCAAAAAATTATAACAACGAGGAATTCATTATTTAAAAAAAAAAAGGAGAAATCCCCTGCAGTGAAACGGAAATACAGAAGAGCCTTAAAAACGAAATAATAAAACAGAAGATCACGGAAACCTCCATCTGAACTCGATATCAACGATCAAAGACAGATATCCATAGCTAGAAACCAATAGCTAAGAAGCTCTAATGCCAGCCGGCAAGTCATTATCCATCACGGATATCCCCTCGTCACATTCGGAATATATTCCTTATATGCTAATTAAACAGAACCAAGAACAAGAACAAGCCGGCCAACTGTCATAGTCCACTTCCCAATGAGTAATGCCCATTGCAGTACCAATCAATCCCGTTCTATAAAAGCCATAGCCAGGATGACTTAAAAACACAGAAACTATATTAATTTGGTACTTAAAAAACAAAAACAAAAAAGTGCAGCAGTAGCGATGAGTGACCCAAAAATTGTCCTGGTCACGGGTTGCGGCAAAGGCGGGATCGGGTTCGAGTACTGCAAGGCATTCGCCGAGCACAATTGCCACGTCATCGCCACAGACATTCCCAGTCGTGTCGATGACATGGCAGAACTCAAGGAATCGTTCGACGACAAGATCGAGACCTTCGGTCTCGATGTCTCTTCCGACGAGAGCGTATCATCAACGATCACAGATGTCATCGCCAAGCACGGTCGCATCGACATACTAATCAACAATGCTGGGATCGGCAGCACAGGCCCATTAGCCGAGCTGCCGCTAGACGTGATCAGAAAGGCATGGGAGATCAATTCACTGGGGCAGCTGAGGATGGTGCAGAGCGTGGTCCCACACATGGCGTCGCGTCGCCAAGGGACCATTGTCAACATTGGGAGCGTGGTGGGCAAAGCGGCGACGCCATGGGCAGGGTCTTACTGCGCTAGCAAGGCTTATGTCCATGCCATGTCGCATAGTTTGAGGGTGGAATTGAGGCCGTTTGGGATCAATGTTGTGCTGGTGATGCCTGGTTCCATAAAATCCAACCTTGGCAGGGCTAATACGGAGAAATTACAGGGGGTTCATGATTGGAAGACTTACAAGGATTTCAAGGAGGCGATTGCCGAGCGAGCCAGGGCTTCTCAAGGGCCGAAGGCGACGGATGCGGCGGTTTTTGCAAGGGAAGTGGCTAAGAGGGTTTTGAGGTCTAAGCCATCGAAGTTGGTCACGTTGGGTCACATGACTGGTCTGTTTGCTCTGCTCTCTGCCTCTCCCTTGTGGGTCAGAGATCTCTTCTTTTCGAGAAGATTTGGCCTCAACAAAAGGGTTTGAGACAATTTACCCATGAGAGAATGTTTAAGGCATGATGCTATGTTTTAAAAAAGGATGTGAAGATAAGTTGCTTTAATATGGTTATATCTACAAGGACCAAGATGCTAGTATTGAACTTTAAATTATTAATGGGGGGCAGTTTGGAGATATAATTAACTAAGATTCAATTTATGCAAACAATGATTTGATTTGTATCCTTTAGATTGTAAAAGCTCTTATTGAAGCTTGAGAATGACCCTTCCTCCCCAAATTTTATCAGCCAACAATATTTGAAATATAAAAATTCATAAATATTTTGGATGTATCATATCAAACATAATAACTTCTTATATGATCTATCTTCTTGTTCTTTTTTTAACCTTAAAAAAAATTCGAATTTTTAAAAACCAATGTAGTCGGAATACGTTCACAAAAAAAATGTTCGGGATGTTCTTGTCCTCTCTCTGGCAATTATTCGCCCTGGCCGGTCGTTTCTTCCTCGCAGCGCTGCTTGAACTCCTAGCAATCAGCCTGCAAAATCATGATACTGCTAGATGCCATGGATTTGCGGCGTGGAATCATCTCCAGAGATCCATTCCGGCCCCTGAGATACTCAGGGAGCGATCGGCCACTCACTGCAAGAATGTGCAGTCGATGAAGCTTGGAGATGGATCTTCGGAACGTATTCAACGCTCCCAGACACTTTAAAATAACAAATCCAGAATAAGGATTTGCCAAAAACGGAAAATTGTGAGATCTGAAAGTGATCTTATGGCCTCCCCTGAGAAGAAATAGTGTTGGAGGCCCAATATCGAGGTTTGGCAATTCAAACTTCCCTCGTCGACAGACATGGATGGTGACGAAAAAGAGCCCCTTCTGGTCGTGATTATTACTCCGAGCAGTCAATTTTCTGTTCGTAACTCCTTTACCAGACACGAGGGAGCTGGTACTTGTCGTATTCCCCTTACTGGACACGAGGATGCTGGTAAACTGACCCCCGCGTCTGGATCGTCACAAGTCGAGGATGTTTTCGATGGTTTGCCACCGTTGGCCTCCTCGAAGCTCCGCTGTGATGACGACGGTCGGCGGGATTCTCCGAGGAAAATCGTGAAGAGGGATTTTCTGTTGAGAGACGATCACGTCCTGATTGGATGGGAACGCACATCTCTTTGCTTTGGATTTTGCGGGATAGTATCGCCCTGTATCCCCTCTGCCCATCGTACTCCAGCCCCCACTCGATCTCCTAATCCAATGATGATTCCTCATAACAGAATCTCGAGTTTCAAAACTCTGAAACAAGGAGGGCAAGACTCCTTTTTCTATTTAATACCGCCTCTCAAAATCACTCCTCTCCTGCATACAAAACATCACGAGAGTTTGAGGGTGATTGAAAGAAATTCATCCCTCTCAAGCCAGAAGCTTCAGTCCGGTTTGTGGCCACCATCCCTTCCCTGCCCCGATTTTGCCCTCCACCCGAGAGCGAAGTCTGCGGTGGACTTTGCTCCAAACCGTGCTTCATACCCTATACTGGATACCCACTAGGCGATCGAGATGACTAGAATTCAGGAGGACCAAGTCGTCCAATTTTCCCTGGAGGAAGTGAAACCTGCTCGCTTCCGTAGCTCTTGTGCGGTGCTGGGCAGGCTCTTCTCGGCTAGCTCGTTTACAGCAATGGAACTGAAGGATGGTTTGAATGGCCCGTGGCATGGCAAAGGACGAATTAGAGTGATGACAATCAAACATGGCCAATTTGAAATAGTTCTACCTACTGAGGCGACCATAAACAGAGTTCTAAAGCGCACGCTTTGGATGATTCGTGATAGAATCCTTCATCTTCGTGCATGGACGCCTAATATAACGAAGAGCTCATTTGATGATCTCGCGCTGGTTCCCTTCCGTATCCAAGTATGGGGAATGCTCGATGACTGCTGTACTCAACAGTTTGGGCAAAAAATGGCTGCTGATGCGATTGGAAGAGTCCTAGAAGCAGGGGTTTTTACTTGCACGGATTCTTATCACTGTTTCGTCAAAGTCAGAGCCATGGTCGATTTTACCAAACCTTTGCGATCGCAAATAATGGCAGCTATTGAAGAACTGGGAAGCTTCTGGGTCACTCTAAAGTATGAGTATCTCCCCAGTTTCTGCTTCAAATGCGGCCGAGTGGGTCATCTCTCCAATGAGTGCGTGTTCGAGCCCCCGATACGAAAGGAAATATTTGGACCGGATATGTCCACTAAACAGGTGGGCACACGAGTCCTTGATGAGGCTGATGAGCCCCTCCCATTCCCGAGGAACCCGAAATCAGTTTGGATCAACAAGGAGCCTAGGCCGATAAACAATGTTGGTGCTCGGGGAAGGCAAGTGCCAGGTAGGGATGGCAACAAAACCCGAACCCACAGGTACCCACCCTACCCAACCCGGTCAACGCGGGTAAAATCCGTGTTGACGGGTTTTGGGCCGGGTTCGGGTTTAAACCCGCTACACTATTCATCGGGTCGGGTTGGGTTTGGGTTTAGGTAAACCCGACCCATGGGTACCCGCCCACACACATATAATTACTTTCCCGGTATATTTAATATTCTAAATAATATATTTTCCTTAAACAATTAATATTCTGTATGTTTGTGGAGACATGTATAATTTGTTCTTTCTAATTGTTTAGAATGAAGTTGATATTATGAAGTAGAGAGTGAAGAAACTTAGTTGACGAGGAAGAATCTTTCAATTAATCTTTTGTTTATAGATGTTTATCTTTAATTTTGAACAATTTGTATTGATCATTTGCGGTTTGCTTGTATGCTCTACATTGGTGTTTTTTTGTATGATTAATTTGTATGAGAAAATTGATGTTAAACTTTTATTTTGAAAGAAACTTGTTATTGTAAATTTTTTACCACAAAAACCCACGGGTACCCATGAACCCGCGGATACCCAACGGGTTGGGTTGGGTTTGAGTTTTTCAAACCCAACGGGTTTTACCCCGGGTTTTTTAGGTGAATAAACCCATGGGTTTGGGTTTGACAAAACCCGCCCCAACCCGACCCATTGCCATCCCTAGTGCCAGGATAGGTGCAAGGGAAGCTCCTTTTGCCTTTGAACCAGGCCGGGACACGACCTCAAACTCAGCAGAGGGGTGTGGCACGGAATGCTGTGAGCGTGCTGAAAAATGATCATCGCAAGGGGAAGAGTCCTCGTGGCTTCCGTGTGGCGCGATCACCCACCCTCAAGCTGGGACGTGGCCAACGCACGAACACCGTGAACAAGAAGATCCCTGCGGATAATTCTCGTGGGGTCTCTCATGCACTGGATCGAGGCCCTAGCCAACCGCTGAAGCCATTAAAGAGGCAGTCGGCAAATAATGACCAGCCCTTGGAACCGTCCAACAAACTAGGCGTGAGGAATAACCTTGCAGGGAAGAAAATAGTTATGCGGCTGTCCCTTCCACCAATGCGATGTCTAGACGTCGTCGTTTACTCCTCGAGGACGATCCTGACTATTTTGTTCCACCCTCGCTCCCACATATGCTTACCATGTGCCGTCGCGAGGAAGAAGATGGGGGTCGGGTTCGTGCCTAGGAAACACTTGCCCCTCGTCGGCTTGGTCGCGGCTCCTTGTGTCGAGGAGGGAAGAAAATGGTCGAGGAAGCGTCGGAAAGGCTAACGGCTGGGGAAAGGGAAACCTCCTCCCGTGGCGATGATGATGCCACCAAGGCTTCTACTGTTTCTAGATCTTCAGGTGCCTCAAAAGACAGCGGGTTGATGCAAGAGGTCCCTCCCATACATGAGAACTTGGAAGAGGTGTCATCGGATGCTCAGGCCCTCTCGCCCTCCTTTTCACCGCTCGCTCGAGCCTCGCTCCTAATACCGCACGACACAACCCAGCTGGCACACCACAAGGGGTCAGAGTCGGGGATCTCTTTCTCGGATGAGGACTTGAGCCTATTTGAAATTAAGAGGAGGGTAAAGGGCAAAGCCCAAAGTGATATTATTCGTGGCGCTCGTGGCCGAGTTGGCTAGATGGTGGCAGCTCTTGAGACAGGGATGGTCCTCAATGAATATGGCACGAATCTTATGGAAGCTGGTGTTGGCACTAAGAAACGTGCCTTGGATGATATTGAGGGTGGGGTGGAGGAAAATCACACTCTGAAGAAGCAGTTTGTGGAAGAAAGCACCGAAGAAGATAAGGTGGAGAAAACCAGCCTTGAATGGCCCCAGTCGGATAAATGAGGATTTTGGCCTGGAATGTGAGAGGAATAGGACCATCCCTCACATTCCAAACTTTTGTCGGTTTAGTTCATTCTAATAAACCGGATCTCGTGTTTTTCTCTGAAACACGGTCGAGCCGGAGAGTAGTTTCCCGTCGTATGCGGGGTTTAGGTTTTGATTTATCTCCTTGTTTTTTTGTGGATGCGATTGTGGCATCTGGTGGTCTAGTGGTAGCTTGGTCCCCCGAAGTTGATGCTTTGGTGTTTTTCATTCCAACTTCTGTATATGTTCTCAAATTAATGAAGTGGGTTTTTCTTATATTGTGGGGGGTGTGTGTGTGTGTGTGTGTATGTGTACATTACCTGTAATGTGGCATTAAGAGCCACCCAATTGGCCCAACTCCAGCGAATTTGCGATAACTTTCTGCTTCCCTATGTAGTTATTGGCGACTTTAACACTACTCTTCATGAGAGTGAGAAGGATGGTTGCAACCCTTGGAACTTTGCCCAATCGGTTAGCCTTCGTGACTTTATTCTTAACCTGGGTCTCCATGATCCTGGTTACCAGGGAGATAAATTCACCTGGACTAACAAAGAATGGGTGTGGCGTGTATTCGAGAGCGTTTGGATAGGGCTCTTTGCTCCCAGTCTTGGATTGATCGATTCCCTCATACTTTGGTAAAACATTTTACGGACTAGGGTCAGATCATCGTGCCCTTCTTCTCTATAATAAGCCCTATGCCCGGAATAGTCGGCCTTATTCAGATTTGATGCCCGGTGGGCAGATAATCCGGAGGTTAAAGCGATGGTTACTTATGTCTGGCAAGAGGAGATTCAGGGTACTCCTATGTTTCGTCTTGGGGAACGCCTTAAAAAACTTCGGCATTTGCTTTATGACTAGAGTAGGGCAGACACAACAAATTCATTGCGCAATATTAAAACTCTCCAAGCTGAGATAGACATGATAAAATTGATACATCTCCTTGATTGGGATGAGGTCAGGGGCCTGGAGAGTGAGTTGAGTAGGCAATGGGATGCTGAAGAAATCTACTGGCAGCAGAAATCCAGAGTTCACTGGTTGAAAAAAGGGGATAATAATACTTCTTACTTCCACACAGTGACAAGGGCTCGCCGAAAACAGAACTTCGTGACAGGCTTGCGTAATGATGAAGGAAATTGGGTTATGGAGGAACAAGGAAAAGCAGAAATTCTAATCATTTTTATCATCATCTTTTCACCTCCGAGAATGTTGTGCCCAATATACTTGATCGGGTAGCGGAGCTTCCCATTAATATTTGTGTTACGCCGAAAATGAATGCTAGTCTGATGACAGAGTTTTACCTGGCGAAGTTAGACGAACGGTTTTCTCCATGGGCTTGAAACAGCCCCCTAGGTCCAATGGCTTCACCGGTAAATTCTTTAAGGCTTTTTGGGATATAGTGGGTAACTTGGTGATTGAGGGGGTCTGCTCGTTCTTTACGACTGACAGAATGTTGCGTAGCTTCAACCATACCTGGTTAACCTTGATACCCAAAGTGGATAATGTGGAGACTATAAGGTAACTAAGACCGATCAGCTTATGCCAGTTTGTCTACAAAGTCATAACCAAAATCATGGCGGAACGACTTGCTTGCCATTTACCGCATATAATTTCGGAGGGCCAGAATGCTTTTATCAGAGAGCGACAAATAGTTGAAAACATCCTCATTGGCCATGAGTTAATGCACTACTTGAAAATCAAAACGCGAGGTAAGAAGGGGTACATAGCTTTAAAGGTTGACATGGAAAAGGCCTATGATAGAGTCGAATGGCCATTTCTTCTCGTTGTTTTGGAAAAAATGGGTTTTAACTCTTTATGGCGAAGCTGGATACACGAGTGTCTTAGATCAACTTCATTCTCGGTTCTAATGAATGGCACTCCCTCGAGGTATTTTCCCCCCACCAAGGGGCTGCGACAAAGGGATCTGCTCTCTCCGCTACTCTTTTGTCATTTGTTCGGAGGGCTTTGCGGCACTACGCCGTAAAGCCATAACGGAGAAAAGGTTGGGAGGAGTTAAAGTGGCACCTAGAACACCTCGGATCTCACACTTGTTTTTTGTGGATGATTCTTACTTATTCTTACGAGGTTCCCTTCAAGAGTGTGTGAATCTAATTGATGTCCTAAATGAATATGAGGAGCTTAGTGGCCAGAGGGTGAATTTGGATAAATCACTCGTTTGCTTTAGCAAGAATATAACAATCCCGGACCAAGAATTCCTGGCGGCCGTGCTGGGAGTTGGGGCAGTAGGAGTCCATGATAAATATCTGGACTTACCTACGCTGATTGCTCGGTCAAAAA